CCACCAACCCATAATGGGCGAAAGCTCACTTTGTGCGACATATATGTACGAGGCGTGAGCCGAGTACATATATGGAGCACAAAGTGTGCTTGAGTCCATTATGGGTTGTCGGGGAGTTCATTATTGCTATTATGTTGTAGCGTTGTCATTACCAGTGGATGTGCCGCCTCTAAAAAGCGGAAAAAATTGGAGAAAAATCTACAGTGAACGGAATAGTTTCACAGTCACTGGCCCGTGAATCTGAATAATGAATGTCTTTCTGGAAATTTGTTTTCACAATCCTATATGGCAAACCATGGAACTATAAACCTATAGTTCCATGGGAAAACTAAGAAAGAAACTAGTTTTAATCCATTAAATATTATTGTATTGAACTCATTTACATTGCGAGTGAATGAGTGACTGATGTGTGGTGTGGAGTAGCATTGCTGTGATCGCCCGAACGAACGGCACACCATGACTGTTGTATCGTATCGGTGTCCACCGCGGCCTTGCACTACGCTACGCTAGATCGCCGCCGTGGCCCAGCTGGATCGACTGTGCGTAGGGGTGCGTACGCGGGGTACATGCACGTAGTTGCATCGTTACCCCATCCCACTAGTGTTTTCAAACCATCAAGGTAGATAATATTGGCAACTGTCCTTTCTGTGTAAGAGTTATTTTAAATTCCACGACAAGGCGGAGATTTGACGAATACTTCGAAGCAGGCGAACGAACATGACCGGAAAGCTAGTGGATGTTAACTATCCTAGAAGGAGAACCAACAGTGATTTTAATCTCACTGTATAAATAAACAGATACACACCTGGGAAAACGGATACTTTCATTTATTTATGCAAACTGTGCCCGGACTGTTACATTTACCGGGAGTCGACGCTGAGGAAATACAAGTCATGTCGGTCTTTCGGCGATCTCGATCTCAAATTTTGTAGTACTACTCACTACAAAAAACAGAACAAATTCATCTCTTTGTACTCGTAGACATACATTGTACCCCATTTCGTTTATCGCATTTGCTTGGGTAAATTATCCTCGGTTAACCTCACTTCATAATCAGGAGGCCACAGGGACAGCGGCATCAGTCGCGGAATCTTTTTCAATAGTTTCTTCTTTATTCGTTTTCGAAAATAACATTGTATTCATATCCATTGAACAGGGCCTTGATGCTCAACAATGTAATACATTATCGCGAATAATCTGCTGCAATGACGTCATAAAATACACTGGTATTAATAATGCTATAATATAATAATGCTTAATGCTTGAAATCTGCTTCATTAATACATTTCTGAATTTCTGAAAGTACGGTTATGGTGGAGTGTAACACGAGTCTTTCATAACACAATCAACAACATAAATTGATTTTTTCATTAAAATAGCTTTCATTTGCTATATCTCATGGTGCTTTCGGATTTGTTTACTTTTACTTATCTGCAAGTGATAATCTACCATTCAAAACATTATTAAACTTACATTAAAACAGAAAACCTCTAAGCCTTCATCAAAAAAGTACACTATTGCAGGATCCTTAGGTGGTGTTTGTTTTAAATTTGGCAAATTGTAATCATTATAGACATTGTCGTGGACACGATAATTGTCACCAGAGGTGCTGCAGGATTAAATCATATACAGAATACACTTCTTCACTGTAAAAAGTATTTAATCTACACAATTATACCCTCATACCCTTAATGGTATATTTCAATCAATCTTTGACGTCTTCAAATACTGAATGTCTGCATCATTTCAATGCAGCATTACTTTCACTTAGGGAATATTTATAGGGGTTTAGATTCACTGTCATAATATTAGTGGTTGTAACGAACGAAAGCCAGCATAATATATATGCAAATATATACTAAATTGCATTCATGGAAATGATGTTTCTTCTATTACTGTTTTTTAATTTGATGTCACTTTTACTAGTCACATAATACTTTTAAAACTGAATTTGAATAGTGTTCAAAGGTGTCTGCTCTAGGTACAAGTGCGATCTGTCTCATTATAACACTAATTTGTTTTAAATGAGAAGCTTTGAAAAATATAACAATTTTGCATTGTTTTTTACATGAAATTGTAATAAATATCTTTCTGTAATTAGTATTTTTCCAAATTGAAAGTGACAAACAACAGATGTCGTTCCAAACTAAGATTAACCAAACATATATTAGGTCATTTGAGCAAACTATTGTTATGACACAAAATAAACAGTTGATTATTAAGCTAATTAATATACGCAGGATAATTTCAAAATATTAGCTTCGATCTACTTGTGCAAATTGTTACAACACAAATGCAACATAATGACAACAGTTTATTTGTATATAAATTAGGTAATTTATCTTTTAATCCAGTCAGCAGCTCTTGAAATATCAGTGGAACTAATTTGACACAGATACACATTCAGATGAACAGATGGATGAACGGACGGGTGGATGGATAGAGCATACGGCAGGTACGGTACGAGGTTACCTTTCGTTTTTGCTTTGCACACACAAGCCATAAATACCCGGACATGCATACAAATACTATTAATACGGTTTCAAAAAACTGATAATACAATAACATTAATTTGTTTTTAAGAGCAACACTATAATAACATTGATGTCTACATGTTTCTTGTTGAAGTTGTTCTTTCCATTTGACAGAAAAGGCATGAATTCAATTAATTTGAAAAGTACTACTCACTTGATTTGAATACTTGGGGAAATTGATTCCACAATGGAAACCTCCTGTTCAAAATATTCTTCCATATTGTCATTTGTTGTTAAAATTAAGTGGAAAATATATCGACCAACATTCAGTACTTCCTCCATAATAGTCACTACACGGTTATCTTCAGTTATGGTATACATATTTGAAGTTAGATTACATGCATCAAGGTAAACTGTAAATTCAGAATCATGAGGGCGACATTTCCACACCAAATTTATTTCTTCAGTGTCAGCTTCCGGGTCATGTGATTTTGAACCATCAAGTATAAGTGGTACTTGTCGCGAGGACGTCCGCATGTCACCACCTTCTATTTCAACGATTGGTGGTGCCCTTAATATATCGATGTATAC